AGAAGGATGCTAGCAGTGTTAAGGCAGACCTGGGGTGCAGACAAGCTCCCAAAGGCAGGTATCTGACTAGACCTTTCTGTGAGGCATAAGTTAAAGATGATAAACTATGCAGAAAGCAGAGAGGAGTCTGGTGGAGCCCTGCCAGCTTGGCAACTCACAGCATCTGCGGCTCTGAGTAGAGGTTGGGCATTTGGGGGAATCTGTCACCCTGAGTGCAATGTCCGTGTTGAGAGGGCTTGACTCTACAGAGAAACATCTATGCTTCTCTACGTGCCATTTTGGTGTCCAAGTCCCCATTATATCCCCAAAGTCACTGGCACCTAGGAAGCAATTCTACTCACAGAGGCATTGGCTTAGTTGTCCGGTCATAAGACATTTACGATGTTCCCACCTGAGACGCCTGCACAAGGTGCACAGGTATGACATAGGAGAAGCAGTTGGACATGGCTTAGGGGAAAGACCCTGCAGCACCTGAAACAGCGCTAGATGCTGCCTGTGTTACATCAGACGAATCAGGTGCCTGCTAGCTGGTCCCACTGTTGAGGCTCCACCAGGTGCACTAAATAACACAGGCCTCCTGTGCCCAGATGGGGCACTTAGGACATCTGCATTTAAGACTCTGGGGCCCAAAGTGAATGTTCCTCCCTCCCTCCCACCTGCCCAGGTCTTCATTAGCAGAGCTCTAGATCCTCCCTTGGGTCACAAGAGAAAGGTTGAGATCATCTGCTATGATAGTAAACTCCAAAACGTGCCAATTTGACGTTACCTAAGAGTAAAGCGATGGTTGTTAGCATTAACCTTGCAATCCTGGGAACCCATCAGTCTGCATTAGCCTGGAACCCAGTGCCCTGTGCTGCAACTGAAGTGCAATGCGTGTTATACGGGCTCACAGTGTTTCCTTCAGGATTGCCATGGAAAAGATAATAATGACAAATCTTCAGTAGTTTAACAGTAGTCTAAGCATAGGATTTGTTTGTCCCTTGGCTGGTTTGCTTTTGTTTCAGTCAGAGGGCACATTTTAGTCTCATGCTGTTCCTGATTTATCACTGTCCAATACAATGAGAAAAAAAGAATGAACTTCCAAGTACACTGAAGAAACAAGAAATATTTCTTAAAAAACAGCCTGAGACACAGGCAAAGTCTGTAATTAAGTGAACTGCAGGTGAGTGGAAAGAATTTTTCCGTGAAGGAATTATTCAGTGGCAAAAAAATTCAGGAGGGAAATAATACACTAGATTTTAATCACCTTCTAAGACTAGATTTTTAGGATTCAGTGACAAGCTCAGGTGGTACAGCATTGACATCAGAAAGGGGTGTTTATTGCTATTTAAGATAGGCAATTGAAATATTCTCTCTAGCTGTCCCACTTTTTAGGACAGTAGCTGCAGAAATTAGTCTGGGAATGAAGTGCAGAGGAAGAGGCAAGTTGCCAGCCAGAATGAGGTGACTGTAAGGTTTAGTACTTCGTGACTGAACAAAACAAGTTTACTGAGACTGATTTACACAGTTTGGATGCTAACGCAGATCCTCTGCTCAGACAAACCGCAAATAGAGTTGCTTGGAAATTTTCCATATGAACAATTATTTTAATGGGAAATTCAGTTTCCTTCAGAAAAAATGAGAATCACTCATACTGGGAAAATCAAAATGAGCCGTTTCAATTGCATTGACCTAAATGGAGCTGACCTCGAATGCTTTGTTTCAGATCAGTCCTTCAGAAAATTGCATTAGTTTCTCAGCAGTGAGCTCATTGCTTAAAGGCAGATGTAGGTTGAAGTGCTCTTCCATACACCGGGTTTCCCAGAGAACTACAGTGTAGTCATTGCATCCTCGTGAAACATTGCCTAATGCAAGGAAATAGATTATTTTTTGGTGAGTCAGGAAAAAACCTTTAGTCTCTGCTCTGTCCCTGCCACGTGTAGAGCAGTAAGTGACCGTTCTGAAGTTATCACTTGGCCTAGAGTTAAGCGTAAGCAACTAGGCAATTACTTAGGGCATCAACATTTGAGACAGTAAAACCGCGATGACCCCACTGCCTGTGTCAGAGCTGGACAGCCAAGCTGCCTGCCTACAGCTTCCAGCAGAGCTTCGCACTTTGCGGAAGGCAGAGAGATTGGGAGAAGTAAGCATTATCCTTCGCCAACTCCATGTCATGGCAGTGAAATTCATAAATGAAGTTAGTTCCTAAATTCTTTCCAATTCTACAATAAAACAACTTGGTTGCTTTAGATGACTGAAGCTGCACATTTTTTAATTCCTAGACTGATAACATGTAAATTGTCTCTTCTTGTGGTCCAGGGAAAATGTGTAGATCTTCTGCTGGTAGATCTTCCTTCTGCCTTCCTTTCATACCAGAAAAGCATATGTAAGGCTGGCTGGTGGTGCTGTGGGTTGGTGGATTCATGCCAGCAGATTAGTGCAGTAGCTTTAACCTTGCCTCTGTCCTGGCTAGTCCCAGTCTCATTTAGTTGCAGTAGGCAGAACCAACCCACTGAAGTGGTGAACAGATACCCACTATAAACCTGAGCAGTGTTGCAGAAACAGCCCCTAGTGTACGTCTCGTCCTCGTACAATTAAATACAAATCTTCTTTAATTGCATCTGTAACATTTAGCAGGTAGCTCCAAAATTTCTAGGTTTATTCATGACTGTGTTGTTTGAAGAAGTATGTTATTATTTCTGAGACAATGATGTAATCAGTGGCACACAAAATTACAGTGTCCCTGCCTAGAACAGCAAAGAAAATGCCAAGGACAGTGGATCCTTAGAGGGAAGTTGTAATAGAAAAGGCTATAGAGTGAAATCCATGTTCTTTATGTCAGCTCTATGTCCTGGCACAGGCTATGGTGCAAATCACCCTGGACAATAGTTTTCTAATTTTTCTAATTATTCAGGTGCCCAATTCTAACTGAAAATGAGTTTGGCACCTAAATACATTTTTACTCATAGTCTATTTGCACTGTATCACTAATGGTGATCGTCTGATGACCATCAGCTCCGAAAGCCTCTGCACTGAGCCGCTCAGTTACCACACTGCTGAGGATACTGCAGAGCAGGGAGCCGAGGGGAGGAAATGGATTTTAAGATAGAATTTGAAAATAGATAGCAAATCTGACTAGCTGACAATGTTTAAGGCTATTTTAAACATAATTTCAAGATGCGCATTAAGAAATATAGAAATATCTTCCACAAAGAGAAAGAATTAGGGCAGATGATGTGCAGTGGCAAGAAATGTGGGAACAATGAATGAAGAGAAGGGATCATAATAGCAAATTCCTGTCATTTATTATCAGAGTAGTCTGTTACCGAGGTTCAGCCTGAATTTGAGGAAAGCCTGAACTGTCTGAAAATTTACCAGAGGTGATTGCTGAGAGATCAGAAAGGTTTGATCGTTGATGCCATAGTGATCCAGGCTGAACAGCCTTAAGGATTCTCAGACGCTATTTTTCCTATCAGATGGCTTGCTGACCTATGAGTTAAGTTTCTCAGCTTCAGCATTGAATCCTATAGTCTATGGATTTCACTATACCTACCACCAAGGTCATTGGAAAAATCAGATGCAAGACTGATTTGGGGCCATCCACCTTGGTCCATTCAAATGCAAATCAGGTTACCTTTAGTTAATAAAGGTTTGGGGAAAATCTCATTTACATCATCGATTTAAAATATTCAGAAGTTTTTATACCTCTGAGAATGCAAGTTTGTGACTACCCAGGATCCTGCAATTTCTGTCTGTTTTTCTCTCTCTCTCCCTCTCACACACACGGATGTACACAAAACAAAAGCCAGATATATGAAAGTTAGCTCTGTGCTATTGGTGAGTGGCATTAAGATAGTAATGTTTTCTAAAAGGTAAATACAAAAATCCCATAAAAAAGATAAATGAAAAAAATCCTAAACACAATCAGACACTCAATATTCACCTAGTAGCAAAATTCAAAAAGGATACACAAGCTTTAATTTTCTTTCATCATCAGTTTCTTCTCTTTCTTGGAAAAAAGTCAGTATACTAACTTTTAGAACTGAGCTGTAGGTCAAATTGTTTATCTTTTGACTATTAAAGCCTTAAGAGAAAAATATTACTTGGAAAGTTGATCAAGCTGAAGCCTGTTTGAAACAAACATTTTTGAATTTTATATAACACTTATATAAGTATTTGTATAATGTTGGCATGGCAATAAGAACTATTCTTCTCATATCACCAATTCTGCTGTTACTTTCTGCTAAAGCTGGTGCTGGTGAAACTGCTCCACATGGTCAGAAAGACTTTAAAATTGCAAGAGAAGATGGTGCTGAGAAACCTGGTTCACTTATATGTCGCGTTACTGTGCATTTTCTGATGTGTTCGGAGAAGCTATGCCTGGTTTTATCCTCCTGCTTTATTGCTAAGCCTGTGCAGCACTCTTGTGCGGTGAGGAGTCCAAATGGGAAAAAGACATTGGGTTTTTCCCTGTCTTAAAATGAAAGGCTGAGCTGCTTGAGCGGTGCTGTCGGCCGTGAAAGCCACAGGAGAGTGCAGGCAGTGCTGGGGGGGAGAATTTCCTGCCTCAGCCTGAATGGAGCAGCTTGCCAGCGCTGGCAGGTACGGCACGGAGCAGCAGCGCAGGGACGTGATCCCCCTGCGTGCATGCCGTGTGCCACGCAGCCGGATCCTGGCCGCTTTGGTCTGTGACTGCAAAATGGGCGCAATTCCTCCTCGTTGGAAGACTGTGAGACTGTCTAACCTTTTTTGTCACTTGTTAAGAATTTGGTGGTCCAGGAATGAATCTCATTCTCTAGAGCCTGAATCTCTCACCGTCAGGCAGCCCCCCATTACTTGGTTCCTGCTAGGTAAGAGGTACGAGAACTCCCCTCCTTAATCTTTTTTTTTTTTTTTCTAACTGACCATTCTGTCTCCAAGTAGTCCTCCTAATTTTCTGGAGGACTACTTTTGGTTGTGTTTACCAGTCCAACACAAATTATTACTAAACTCACTAACCTTCTGCCCTCTTATCTTTCCAGCAATCTGGACACAGAAGAGCTCTGTGGTAAGTTCCTTTTCGAACAAGACCATAACCTGTGCCTGCAGTAGGCCTACGCAAGTGAACATACCATGTGCTATGATATTTTTTTCTGTTTAACTTGAATGTTTGAAAGAGAAAAAATGCAACTTAGACGTGGAAAGAACTCCTAGGAGAATGCAGATGCAGGCTCATAATCCTTCTGATTCCGGTGTCCATTAGAGGCAGAAATTACTGTGCAAATATTTCCCTCTAATATATACTTCTCACTGTTTGAGCTTTAAGATATATTTTTCTCTCAGGACATTTTTTCTACTTAGTACGTTATTTTCAAAGGTATAAATGTTTTGGCAATTTTGAAAAAAAGACTGTTATATTAGTATTTTACTGGCATTCATTACTTCCTCCAACTTGCTTCAGTAAGAACAGCCATCTGACAATTTCTGTTATCCTTCATCAAGAAAAACTCCTGCTAGGCCTAGAAATTGGCCAGTGACCTATTTCTGTGCCCCATTCTAGGCTGTGAATCATGGAATAGCTTCCCTGAAATCCTTCTTTGCTCCCTAGCTAATTTTACCACACTAGATTTAGGAATGCTGCTTGCAATGGAAAAGAATTTACAGAAAACTTCTGCAAGTCTTCCCAAAAAGGTCAAAAAGCAGTTATACTTGTCAAATACAGCATATTTCCTGGGAAAAGATGCCAGCAAATAATGGCCTGTTGAATGAGCCAACTCATTTACTTGTCCACAAGGTGGACTCTGTTCATAGTCAGGAACCCATCGAAGCATCTCAGCGTGTGGCTTAGAAATATATGATGATGCAGCTCAAGTTAATTGAGTTGTGATGACTTGTACTAGCTGAGAATTTGGCCCAAATTACGTAAATGTGGCAAAGAAAGAAAGTGGCTTTGTCCCACAAATGATTTACTGCTATTGATGTATTTTTTACACCAGAGGCTAACATGTCTCCTTAGGACCCACTCTGCAATGTAAGCCAAGCAAGCAAACTCAAGCAGACTGAAGGTGCTACATGGAGTCTGAATCTCACTTTTCCTGCCCATTTTGATTAAATACAGGCTGGTTTAGCAGTCCTCATTATATCTGAGATCTCCAACTTCTTTGTAAATCTTTCATAAATTGCCCCTAGGATATTTCTTATTTATGAATCTGGTAGTGAATCCACCTGAGCCAGTTGCCCTGAAGACCAGAACTCAGAGAGACACATTTAATCTAGTGATTATACAGCTCTTTCTTATTTTCATTCTCCCCAGAAAAATGAAGCTTCATTTCCAGGATATTAATTCAGAATACACTTTATTTCTAAATCATCTCATTCAAGCTCTCAGGAATATCAGGTTTTGTAACTAAAGCTCCTGATACCGTATGCTTTCCTGATTCGCCTGAGAAACTCACTCTGACCACTTAGAAGCCTCAAAGTATTGCGATTTATTATCTCAGAAGGCTCCTTTCTAATCTTGTTCTGTCTGTCATTTAGATGTTATTTTTCACATTCTTCTAGAAAATCTGACTTCTAAATGCCTTTTCTAACACAGTTTCTAGCTTTAACACTGTTGTCTGTCTTATTTAACAGTTCTCTATCCCTGTGCCTCACTCTGCTTTGTTTCACTCCCTGAGCTCCATATTCACGTAATCTACATTTGCATCATAATTTCCCGCACTTGCCTCCTCTGACCCTACCCCGTTAACCGTAACGATGGGACAGCCCTGTTTCCCCGACGAGCCAACTCAGCGCCACTCGTTCACTCGTTTGTTCCTTGGTTCACTGAGTTAGTCCCTCTTTGTGGGGACTTGCGGGAGCGAAGCCTTCTGGTTGATACAGACATTGTCATGTAGCAGGTCTGTCATATCGGAAAGAGAGCGATTGCAAAGGAAAAATATGTGGATCATTTTGGCACTACTTTGTCAATAGAGCCTACTTTATCTGAAATATGTCTACAGCTACTCATCCCTCTTGATCTTATGCAGCATTTTGATACTTAGCCTCTGAGCTATCTTCCTAACTTGAACACTCCCAAAATGCCTCACTGATCCTATTCCAGCCTTCTTCCTCTCTTAGGCTTTGTTGATTTAGTATCTGCTGTGTTTACAGACCATGCTACTCTTCTCACCTGATTAGTAGATTCCCTTTATTAATACATATGTTTTTTTCATACAATATTAACCTTCTGACAGTGTGTATCATTGGCTTTGTACATGTGATCCACTCCATAAGCATCTCTCAGATATGCTTTGTATTTATGTTTCTTTTTAAGAACTTTCAGCATTTACATAGAGGAATCCCTAATGTCTGCAGATGTAATACTAATCGTATTTGCTTTTATGCTATTCTAGTCCGACACAAATATAACTAGGATTTGAGTAAATACAGTTTTCACACAAAGGCTTAATTCCCTTTTATTCTTGAAGTATCTTGAAGTATGCTTTTGACTTTCATATCAGCTCTTTCTGTTTAAATGTCCTTTATTTAAACGGCACCTGTCTTCTGCAACTTATGTGATTTCCCTGTTTTTTATAAAAATTATATTAATCATAGTTACTGAAAATAGAATCACAGGAGAGCTGATTAGAAGCTTAACCGGCCAGCTCATGGTCCATCTCACTTCTCAGAGGCCCTGGGAGAAACAGCTGGTCTCAGCTGATCCCAGCTCACAGAAGCCCCCTCTTGATCTTTTCTCTTCCAACTGTAAATAAAGGCTTTAGTAATGTTGTTCATTTTTCTATCAGTATAAATATTATCAGATTTAGTACATATCCATGGAAAAATTATTTCCTGCCAACAACTGTGAAGTAGATTGTTAAAGTGAAAATCAATTTTGGAGATGAAATGCAGACATTTTGAAAATAGGTCTGTTTCAGCTGTCAACCTGATATTTTAATTTTGTCATTTTGGCAGCTCATTTAATGGAAAAAGTTTCAAAACAACGATTTTAGTTATTTAAGGTATTCCCATGTTTTTGAATGAAATGGTAATAAAATTTAAGAATAAAATAGTCCTTTTATTGTATATCTCGTTCACTTTATACATTCAGATAATTAATAATAATAATACCATAACCGAATTCAGACTCAATTAAATTGATATTTAATACAATATCATTTTGACAGGTCATAAATAAGTGACTTGGGTTTTCTTCTTTTAGAATATTTTTCCCAGCACTTAGGAGAGTATGGAAATGTTCTGTCAGTGTTGGAAGACTTAAACATTACTATACTGAAGGCAATGGACAAAACAAAGAAAGTAAGTAAAAGTTGTGAGATTTTCTTTACACATTATTTTATTCATTTGAACATGCATCCAGTATTTTGTTATCTACAGATAGTTGCTAATTCATGTTTAAATTCTTCCACATATATATGGTTTTATAGCAAAGGTGCAGGAGGAAAAGACTTGACAAAATGGTCAAGTATCACAGTGGTAAAGCGCTATGTGCAAAGTATTACAGTTTAGAGATAATCAAAATTACCTTTGTGAAGGATCAAAAAGATGTTCTTCACATTGTAGTAGCCCAGAGAGGCTTCCATGTCCCAGTCTGAACGCAGGTAAGTATTATCAACATTTGAAAACAGTCCAAAGTTGAAAAAATAATCCAAAGTTTTTGAGGTAGTAAACACGTCAGCAAAAAGCTACGTAAATGACTTCAACTATATTAATGACTAGCATTAAATTAGGTAAGGGAGAGTCATTTGGAGACATATTGGGGAGTCACATTTATGATATTGTTAAATGTAGATGCCAGGATATTTTGAAAAGATGAGAAAGGACTGTCTCCCCTCATAGTCCCTAAAGCCCACTAAATCCCAGTACTGTCATGATTATAATATGATCCTGGCAGCAGCTATGTAAATGCTGGGGAGTTGCTCCCAAATAACTCTAGAAATATAATTGGTCGGTGTAAATCACATGAAAGTATCTCTGACAACAACAAAACCCAGCAATTTGGGTTGAGTTGGAGAACAAAATTTCATTTCCATTTCAGATGTTTTTAACAAAAAGAAAAACAGTGCTCACAAAGCCAGGAAAGAGGAGATGTTCGGTCTGTTATTCACCAGCGCAGTGGGGGACAGTCGTCCCAGAAAGAGAAGATGTAGGTTCGGTTTCTCTGTCCTCTCAAGGCAGACGTAGCCAAGCTCCAGTCGGTGTTGTGGGACAGACTGGGCTGCCGATCCACTTCGCATGAGCTGAGTGTTCATGGACGCAGTCATGTCCACTACACACTCATATCCGCTCGTGCCCCCATCTCAGCTAGGTGTCTGCCCGCAAGTACATCAGGACGTTGAGGGACACACCTTTTCTCCCTGGCTGGATCGTTATATTCTGTCCAAGGTGGAGGAGCTTCAAAAGGTGAGGTTAAGAGCCTACCAGGCTAATAAATGAACCTAGCTTGTCCTCACCTGGCCACAGATCCTAATCACTAGGCTGTCACTGAAAGGCAAATCATCAGCGCTGGCTTTTTTTTTATTCTAGTCCTGAAAATAAATTTGAGCCAGAACTATTCAGTGAGATCCTGTGCAGGCAATAAAAATTGCATTCTTCAGTCAATCAGTGATCAACGGGGAGAAAACTGTGCTTCTCTAGTGAAGTTATCATCCCTGGCATACAGCACCCATACGTTTTTCATGAGCTGCCAAAATAAAATCCTGAAACTGTATCAGCAAGTGAGCCAGCAAGTTGAATGTCTCTCCGTTCATGCTGTGCCTCTTCCATTCCTAATGAAGTGAATGTGAGCTGACTCACTGCCTCATTGGCCTGGACACTGCAAAGGAACAGATTAGTTTATTCTCACTACACATAACTCAAAAAAATTAACTGCTTAATTAGGCACACGTATAAAATACAGCTAAAGGGCAGAACATGTCATCTGAAGACTACTGAAAGCAAATAGAATGAGGCATTTAAGAATAACTTTAGAAGTTAATTATAGAGGAGGAGTCTCAGTAGAATAATCAGAATTATAAGAAGCAAGCGTTGAACTGACTACACAATGAATCAGAAAATCGGAATACTGCTAAGTTGCATTTATCTGCTTGAGGATCCAATCTAAAAAGAGAAAAACTCACTTAAATTTTATCTTCATGTCTAAAGATTCAAACCTAATAGTTTTCCTTTCTGATGGGACTATCCCAACGGACAAAGTTCTTTCAAGGTGGTAAGACTAGAGCAAAGCTAACGCTGCAAGAAATTTTTTCAATTCCGGTTAGTAGACAAAGTATGTAGATACAGTCAATCAGACAAAATATGCACCTACAAAGTTCCTAAAATAGTTTTCCATCAAGGATATGCCCAGCAACTCTGGCTTTGTACAGAAATTAAATTCTAAATTCAACCTTTAGAGCACTCTCAACATGAACTCAGTTCTCAGGAAACAGATATTTATTATGTGACCTGGCTACCTGATCAAATCATTGGAGTGCAAATATCAAATACTCTCATCTTAAATAGTCCAAGCTGTTATTGATGTTGATGGTCTAAAAGCTAAAATCAGAGCTGGAAGTGCAGCCAGACCTGGTTAGCATGCTGAGATAGCACAGTTAAGTGGTTTTCGTGGCCAGTCGCATCACCATCACTCCCAAGTGATGCAGCTAGCATTGGTCCCAGCTGAAGTTGGCGTCCCAGCGCAAGCATGCAGCTACTCAGGCCTGAGTGAGCTGAATTTGTTTCAGTGAGCTGAATGTGTTTGTATCCAGAGCAAGGCTTGGACCCCCTCTGAACGTGAACGAACACACTGGCATTGCTCTGCCATTGCACCAGCCTAGTCCCATAGCAGTCCCTGAATACGATCAGCTTTATTACAATCACATAAGCCATAACCTATTTAGAGAATTCATATATAGAAAGAAAAAACCCTAAAACTGAGGACCTACACTTTGATAGCTACAAAGACACAGGGTATCTACAGTGGCTGGGCCAGTTTCCAGTAAGCTGATTCAAATTCTTCTCCTATTAAAATAAAAAAAAAAAGAGAGAGAGAGAGAGAGAAAGAGAGAGAGAGAAGACAGGATATTGTCCTTCCAATAGCAATAAATGGTATATAAATGATTCAGTACTACATCTGATTATCAACAACAGAACGAAAAGGTAATGTATGCTGTCAGACACAGTCAAAGCTGAATATTTTAACAGAATGCTGCCTGTGTTTGGAATACATTTTCGTTTATACATGTCAGGGTCCTTTGGCTGGCGGCAGGAATTCGTCAGACTGAACCTGAACCGCGCTCTGCGGGGCTTGGGGCTAACTACAGACCCGGTCCTCAGGGTTGCCATGGCTTTCTAGCCCCTCTGACTTTTCATGGATTTGAGAAAGCTCAGCACCTCTAACAGTCTCTGCAAAACTCTTCCAGATTGTGTGTCCTTTCAGAGAGGCAGCTCAGTCTGTCTAAGTATTTGAGGGAAAAGGGAGCAATGTGGCACTCCATTTATTTTATTTATCTACCACAGAGTCGTATAAACAATCACCAGTGTGTCCCTCACATAGAAAAGCCCTTCTTTCCTACCAAGTCATATTGTCCTTTCCTGGTAGATACCTTACATGAGAGGCAACTGCAGAGTCGGACTCTGAGCTAAATTGTTCATGTCTGGTTTCCAGGGAAACCCAGAAGTGTCGGGCTTTAGCGGAAAATACAGCTCAGCATGTGATCCGCAAAACAGTGGATCAGCATGTCTGAAATTCTAAAAAACGAACCTGTAAACCTTCCTTATTCCAGATATAAACAGACCTAAAAGTTAAAAAAAAAGTAAAGTTTAATATACTTTTATTTGCTTCCTACCATATATGTTAAACCGAATTTGATAACACCAAAATGAATGATATTATTTGACTCATATCTATAAAGCTAGTACAAAAGTATATATCAAATAGCTTTTCTACATGAAGAGATTTGACTCTTTATGTTGTCTTGTTTTTTTCATGTTGTTTTTAATTCACCATAAGTTTTGGAAATCACAGACATTAATGAATAAATATCGTAGTTTACACATACTCTCTACCTATGAGCTGCTTCAGCCTTTAGTCAGAAAGAGCTCTCGCCAAGGGCAATCAGAGTTTGGCTTGGCTATGGATTCCTAGATTTAAACCAGGATTAATCTAATCGCCCATATCATTCCAAACGATTTTCATGTGATTTTTTTGTTTGTTTGTTTTTTTCCTAACAGATTAGCAGATAACTGACTCCTGCAAAGTAGTTACAGTATAATTTCAATGTACTTTATCTGTCTCCACAGGATTTACAAACAGACATTTTCTTACACAAAATACTGTCTTAAAAAACGCACACTGCATTGCCCACTGTGAACGGACCTGAGAGGCATGAGACAATTAGGAAGGAAAAAAACCCTGGCCAGTGCAAATAGGAGGGTTAAAAAAACTGTGAGAAGAAACTAAGATGGCATAAAATGTTATCCATAATGAAATGCAATGATTAAGTGCAGGTAAAATAAGTTCTGTAAGAGAAAGCAGGTGTCATTCATCCCCATGCATTTAAAATACTTGCAGAAATAAAGATGTTAAAGCAAAAGGCTAGAGGAGCTAATGTGCCTTCCCTCCAAAGCTTATGTGATTTTTTTTGGCCTGCTTGAGGAATTTCTTTGCTTTATGTTAGTTTGCTTGCTTTTGTGGTTGCCTTTCTGGGGATACTCACATGTATTAAAACTGATAAGAGCAAGATTCCTTCCTTGCAAGCCACTCTCAAATGAATGACTTAAAACCAGAGCAGAAGGATGTAGTAGTGTTTGCTGTGGTTTGAAAAGGTCATGAGTGCAGCTTTCCTGAACTGAGCTTTTCTCCTTGCTACCATTCTTATACTCTGAAAATGAAAAAAAACTGAGTCATCTAAGGGAGAAAATGTTCCAGATTTTTTAGCAGTTTTAAGGGACTTTGGATCCAGACTCCTTTCTTTTACTATTTTGGAGCCAGATCCTTCCAGTCTAAGCAAACTGACTAGCAGCTTACTCTTTCAGCGGTCTCATTCAAATGAGTACGGGTGTTTGCAGATTTTGATGCTGAACAGTGAGCACGAGCTCACTGATCCCAGTTTCAGACTTTTTTCCTAATATGAACAGTTCCGGGGCCGTGTCTGAGATGGGAACACAGGAAGCCCTCACTAGCGGAGGAGTGGCACGGGTCTTGCGGTCCTTGTCTGACGGGAAAGTGCTAGCCTAAAGAACGCAGAGAAATAGATATAAAAAGGAACGTTTTTCAGCAAGGGAAATGTTTAATTACAGTTGCAATCAACATGCTTTAA